CCTATTGGTATGCATTTATTCTGTATCTATTTTGTGAACGAAACATTGCGATTAATGATCACACCAAAGTGGATGGTAATTTTTGCAGCATCAATATCGTTGATATCGAAGATTTCAGGATTTCCTTAGTTGCAAGTGGCAAACCATGATCAAGGAAAAATGTATCTCATTATCCTATTAATTTCCATTTCTGATAGGTAGTTGTAACTAGAACAATGGTGGCAAGAACGTTGGCGTATCCCACGATGTATGTTCTCACTGCCATTGGTAATCTTACGTCATAGAATATGTTAGGGTCGATCAGGGTGAATGTGACAGCGGGGTATATGTGAGACCAGCTGAAAAATTATAAATAGTATGTATTTTTACTTTAATGGACTTTAATTGATAACATGTTAAAATTTATTAATTGCAACAACATTCATGATAGAGTTCATAACCTCTAAAAGTAGGGTTAAGCGTTTCCTTGGATACAAATTTCAAAGTTTGTTACCGCGTTTCTGTAGCAGGTAAATTATTACCACCATTGTTACATATTTTACTGTAAGACTCCGATAATATAAATCTGTAAAAAATTGTTAAAAATATTTAAAAACTTGTATATCACATTTACCCCAGTACTATTTAAAGTTGTGGGGTGAATGTGATACAAAAAATCAGTTACCGGTTCTGCTTTCGAGTTAGTTATACCGCATGGAAACAATCCAATTATATAGGGATTTTAATAAGAGTAACTTATACTAATACTGCAACTTATGGAAAAAATTGCTTTAAGCCAACAGCAAGAAACGCATCTAGTTAAAATGTTAAAAATCATGAATGAATGGAGAATCGGTCTATCCAAAGAAGAAGTGAAAAATGTTGTTGCAAAATATGTAATTAAAAAATTAATCAAAACTCCTTTCAAAGATGCCCAGGAAATGATTAGTGGCAAGGTTTCAAGAATCGTCATCGGTTATCCTTGAAAAAGCTTGAAAGAGTTGAGCGAGCTAGAGCATGCCAAGCAGATGATCCGTTTATCATTCAAGACTTTTATGAAAAATTTAGAAAAAATTGAATTGACAAACCTCATAACATATGGAATTGTGACGAGTCCGGATTTTGTACTGATCCTGGCTTTACAAAGGTGGTTTGTCAGAAAGGAATCCCAGCAAAGAGAATTACAGGAAGTCGTACCACAACCATAGTTTTGGCATGTGTAAACGCTGCTGGTGAATATTTGCCTCCTGCAATAATACATCAAGGTAAAAGAATATGGGACAGCATGCTTCCAGGTGAAGAAGCTTTTTCAAACACAGCATACTTTGCTACAGAAAATGGATGGATGACTGAAGCCGCATTCTTTTCGTGGGTTCAAAACTGTTTTTTAAAAAATGTTAAGGAGTATCCATGTCTGCTGATATATCATAGGCCCTTTCTCATGTTGGGTTGAATTTAATCGAATTAGCTATGGATAATAATGTGGTCATACTTAAGCTTTCTCCCCATACGAGTCATATCTTACAACCACTTGACGTAACAGTTTTTAGGAGGCTGAAACCCAAGTGGGACTTCATTCTGAAAGAATGGGCCAGAAATCATATCGGCCAAAAACTTTCGAACAGCACATTTTCTGATCTTATAGGGAATGCCTGGAGAACTATTAAAAGGGATACAATTATGAAGGGCTTCAAAAAACGTGTAATTTAAGATCCTACAATCTCTGGAGTTAATAGCGAAGCTATTGATGAATCAACCTATCATCCTGAAAAATTGGAAAGGTATAAAAAATACGTGGAATGAACCAGATACGTCTAAATGAATCAAACCAGAAAGCACCCATAGAATTTTCCACATCCCCGAGTTTAGCAAATTCCTCAACAAATTGTAATGATGATGAACAATCATCATTAACCCGGAAAAAGTGTTGAAGTATTCTTTTGAAAGTAGCATGTCCTTCTGAAACTGCTATTAATCGAGTCAAACGACGAATAAATACATCGTAAATTATTACTAAAGAGGAATACATTAATAATTCAAGATACGAAAAAGAAAAAAAAATGTTGATGCACTTGCTAAACTTGAGAAACGAAAAAAAAATTGAAAAATAAAAATTCTGAGACTAAGAAAATAATAGAAAATTACCAAGATGATGAAAGTGATATAGAATTAGAAGAAAAAGAAATAATGGTAGAGTCTGGAGATAGAGAAATTGAAGAACTAAAGGAAGACTTTATTGAAATGGAGAAACCAAATGATGAAAACATACAAACTGGGACATATTTGCTTGTAAAATTTAAAGGTGGCAAAAGAAAGTCAATAAATGATAGATATGTTTGTTGCGTGCAATTTGGAATAGATACCGATAAGGAAGTAAAAATAATGGGCTTGCAAAGTACTGATTCAAGTAAACGTGAACGTTAGACCAAATACTGGGTGTTTTACCAGACCCCAATGTTATCCAACAAGGGATGAGATAGATTTTTGACAGATAAATTAGAGATACAATATTTTATTCTTTAAGTTTTTATTTTTCTATTGTTCTATGAATAATAGTGCCTACTAATGCAAAAATTGTTCTTTTATGTACAAAATTGTCACAAACACCCTGAATAATAAAGTACTTGACACAGGTAGACTTTTTAGTTAATGTCACAATCACTCTAGAATGATGTCACATTCACCCCTACGTATTGGGGAAATGTGACACTTTACATTTAGTTTAGTAGAACATAAAACAAATTGACATAATTAGAAAATAGTAAAGATGCTTATGCTACTTAGTAATATAATGTATGAAGAATATGTGGTAAAAATTTGAATTGAAAATATTGAAAAATCCGGATGTTACTAGCACCGAAACGTAAACTTTGCTAAAACGTGTCACAATCACCCCGCTTGATCTTACCCCTTGTTGCGCTTTTTGAAAAGTGTTTGGCCATACTGATATCGCTTTCAACAAGATGACCGGCAGCATGACAATTGGTGGTATGTAATGAGATATGCAGGTTTTTTTCTTATTTTGTGAAAACCTATACCTTTGACACATGAGAAATAATCCGTGCCAAAAGTCAAGGACATAATAAAATAGGTCAAACAATTGTGTTTGTCGGGTTCCATTATCAGTTTTTTAAAGTTATTTCTCTCTAATTTTTTTAGAGCGTTTTAAACGAACTATAAATTAAAAAAAAACAGAAATAAGTCATTCGGGGAGAGGATGGTTTCATCCAATCGGAAAAGATAGTACTGGTATGTGTTCTAGATTAAACGTCGCGCCTTTATTTTACCTACATAAAGGAATAAAGACCTTTATTGGTCCATTAGACAAGCGTTGTATACGCCTACTATCAGTGCCAAAAGTCAAGGTCCCTCACTTTAGAAATCGATATCTTCGCAACCGCTCGATGAAAAAGAAGCATATTTTATTTTTCCGATATTCCATATAGCTTCGCGGAAAAGCACGGTTTAGTAGGATGCGGTATGTCGAAAACAGCTGGGTGAATTTCAATGCGGTTTTAAACAAAATATGTCAAATAATTGCGTTTGTTGGATCCTGTTATTAGTTCTTTGAAGTTATTTCTCTCTATTTTACTCTCTACTTTTTAGAGCGATTTAAACGAATTATAAATTTAAAAAAACAGAAATAAGTCATGCGGGGAGAGGAGGATTTCATCCAATCGGAAAAGATAGTGTGTGTTCTAGACTGGTTGTCGCGTCTTTATTTTACCTGTGTAAAGGATTAAAGACGCGATGTCAGTCTAGAACAAACTTTACCCCAATTTTTTTTATCGAGAGGTTGCGAAGGTATGGATGTCTAAAATGAGGAGCCTTGGGTTATGGTTGGATAGTAGAAGTACGTTGGAGCCAGTTTTTGGCAAGAGTTTAAGTGCTTTTGCGCAGAGATAACATAGACAACTAGGGAGAGTCAATTATCTTATAAAATAAGCCGCTGCTTTTAAAAATGTTTCTAGTATAAGTAGTAAGAAATACGATCAATATACCACATGTCCCAATACTGCAAAGTTAAAACTTCTTTCAGTGGATTATAATAACTATAAAAAAGTACAGCTTTCAGAAAATCCGTTGTTGTGGTGGCACAACAATAGATTAAGGTACAAGGAACTCATTACGATAGTTCGTAAATTTTTATCGTCTCCTCCAGGAACTGTAGCTAGTAAACAATTTTAGCGGTGCAGGTTTAATATATGATTAATAGTGATAAGACAGCAACATGATATAATCTTTTTTTATTTAATTTTGATTGTATCTAAAATCTATTTAGGAATGGGATAATAATTAAAAAAGTACTTACGTTGTTTTGGCAAAAATGATTTCTTCTTAGATAACGTCCAAATTTGTAGAAGATAAAGTGGTCTTTTTCTTGAAATTTACAAAATGCATGATTTAATGATTACTGAAAATCTTTCCATTTACAAATTAAATAGACTTACAACTGATACTGGAAACCTTGAAACTTCGTCATTCAAGTAAGAGTTTTTACAATTAAGAAAACATTTAAGTTTGTAACATTTAAATTGTAAATTTTAAACAATTTGTTCATGATATCACCATATAAAAGTGAATATAAATTTAAATGTGAGAAAATATCGTTTAATTAAGTTGCAATGGATGTATGCAATCAGCAAGAGAATAACTATTAATTGGAATGAAGGAAATAGAATTTCTCTAAGACACGTTCCTATTGCTCTTAAATGGTCTATATAGACCCTAGTGGGATAACTGCCGCATACCATTACGGCGATTTCTGACTTCACAGGCCCCCGGGGCACAATATTCTCCTAGCGTTGGAGATAAAATGCGAGCTCTTCTTAAATTGGACAAACTTTCTAAATTTGTGTTAAAATTTCCATATTTTCCACTACAAAAGAGGGGCTGCGTCGAGCAACTTTTTAAACGAAATGCAACCGACCCTCGATAATACGCCCTTAGCGGAAGAACTACCCCCTTTTACTTTGGCATTAGTTGACGAGAAAATAGGACGGAATAAAATCGCTTAAACGTATAGTTAAAAATTCGTTTATTAGACAGTATACAACAGAACACATTTTTACTATAAGTCGATATACACCGCTATAGTTGATTATATTTACATAATTATTTACAAGATATGGCCATTTATTCATAATTGTTTTATTAGGCACTCGCATACTATTTCATTCAGTGCAAGAGTAAATTATGAAGGAATCATTAAGTAGGGAAATAAATTTGAATCACAAAGTAATTAGTGTGAAAACAAAGATCATTCACACATTTCATGGACGTATTATATGGATATATTATTTTTAGAGATGTTTCCTAATCTACAATTATATTTACATTCACTCGTACGTTTACTTATCTTACAATTGGATATAATTTAATTGGCAGTTTTATTGCACGACACATAAATGCTTAAAATATAAATCGAGAATCGTTAATATTTAGCACCCTTATTCATTTCTCGCCAAAGTACTGTTAATATGACGATTAAATATACACGATTTATCTACATGTTAAATTAAGTACATTTTGATATAATTTCTATTATGTTTTTGCGTAATTTTGACCACGATAGAATTTAGACCTTTGTACATTTTTCTTGCTTCAAGTTTTTTTCTACATTTAACATTCAGGTTTATACATACAAAGCTTCGATTCTACAATGAATAACAGAGGATGAATAAATTAATTTATGTGGAAATAGTAATCGTTATATAACAGTTCAATCACTTTAAATTTATTCTCACCTAAACATAAACACTACAATAATCAGTATGTAACACAAGATAATTACCTCATCAACACTGGAAATTGAGGCAGTGTTAGAGTCTTTAGCAGCTTCTAAGTTTCCTCGTGTAACTTCTTCTTGACACCTTCCGATAGTTTCTAAATCCAAATCGCTCATGGGTCTTCCATTATATTCCAAAGGTGAAATACAAAAATTCTTTGTTAAAAAATCAAATCCGGACCCGTTTGCGAAAGGTCCCATCGCTAAAGAATGGATATGGCAATCGCATGGAAAGTGATTGGCAGTGACTGAAAGCTTTTCAACGGCAAACATGAGAGATTCCGTTTTAGGAATCTCTAAAATATGATTTCCCTGAAACTTTAAGTTTTTGATGTGATCCTCCGGTAATAAATTAAGTTCTTGTATACAATCTATTTTATTGTTGAGAAAATTAAGATTGTTAATGTAAGTTAAACTTTCAAAAGCTCCTACTTGGATAATTCCTAAATCGGATTCTTGAATAGAAAGTACTCCGACGCTTGTAAGTCCGCGGAAAGTACCTTCTTTCAATGATTGAAGATCCATATAAGCTAATTTAAGGAAACCCACTGACTCTAAACCGTTAAAAGCGTCCGGTTCTATCGAACGTATTCCCGAGGGAAATGTTATCTTTTCGACGTTTGTTAAACCCGAGAATGCGTTCGATTCGAGTTTAAAAATAGGATTGTTGGTTAGGACTAGTAATTTTAAATTAGTTGTGCCGGCAAAAGCGTACCCTTCGACCCTTTTAATTTTATTATGGCTGAGATAAATTGAGGTTATATTCTGGAGCCCGGCGAAGGAAAATTGGGCGACTGTCGCAAGTGGAGTTTGCTGAATCGAAATCTCCCTTAATCTGGGCAATCCACGAAACGCAAACGGCTTTATAATTGATATGTTGTTCCCGTCCAGGCTGAGTTTTTTCAACTGTCGTAATCCGGAGAAAGCGTCGCTTCGTATCAAAGGGAAGTGGTTCCTCGTGAGCGACAAGTGCTCCACAGACGCTGGTAGCAGCTTTACTGGTATCTCCGTCAATCCTCCTGAGTTACACAGCACCTGCCAACAAGTTAAGTTAGGATTAGCTGGTATAGAGGCGTAGATATACACGTTTCGGGGCGAACGGTGTCAATGTTAACCCCGAAACGAGGAAACGCGGCTGTGTACAGAAGATGTCGACCTAGTTTAGAGCCGGGGTCGACGAGAGGAAAAAGGAAACGCCGCACCCGTTTCCGGCTTTGCAGAGACGTGTGCGGTACAACAGTAAAAACGTTACGTGGGAACCAACCCTTACAGGGCTTTGGTGAGATTTCCGACAGCAAAAAAAAGCGACGTGCGCGTAAGTGCTGCCGGATTTACTACGGTTTCGCATTATTCTATGCAGGTTTTACCGCAGAGAAGGGTTTGTTCAAATGCATATAATGTATTTCTTTACATTTTGGTACTTATTCTTTATTTTACTCAAAGATACACTTCAAAACTTACCTAAGAATTCTCTACAAATGTTTTTAAATCCTTATTCCTGAAAACTCCTGTCTATATGTATTTGGTTTTTGAATTAACATTTCACAATGTGAGTTTGTGGTATTTTGCAGTCCACAAAATATGATAAACACTGTTGATATTACTACCACAATAATCAAGTCTATTTCCGCAATTTACATTAGTGTGTATTGACGAAACAAGCTCGCAGGATATAAAATATCAATATTGTATTGTTGGGAGAATGGTGAAAGAATTTCGCCACACATGCGGCCGTTTGTGTTACACGCGCCGTTTATGTACCGGGTAAATTATTTATTTTTAGTAATTAAAGGCCGACGTTTGGCCTGTTAATGCTATCTCGCGTTCGTTGTCCGTGAATTGTTTTGTAATTGAGTTCTGGTTTTCGGATTTATGCAAAATTCAGTCGCGGACTCGGAAATCAACTCCACTCACTACACGAATTGTTTAACGCTTTTTTTTAATACGACAAAACATTTATTTCACTCTAAATTAATGTCTCTCCTAATAGCACTTTTCGTTTTGTTATTACTTATAACTAAGCTTCTATTAATTAAACCGCTATTCCTACACGACTTAGGGAATCCAGGAATTAATCTTTATCACCGACCTATATTAATGTGCCGTTGTTTATGTAACCTCTATCGTCGGTACATACCGGAATTGTGGGTAAGTGGATTGCTGGGTTATGTTTACCATAGACCCGTAGGGCTGTAGAAACGCTACGATGGCATAATATGCAGGCGATGCAATAATTGCCGTCCTGTTTTGGAGCAGCCAAAGGGCTTAATTAAAAGTATACTTCATCGCTACTTGGAAACTTTGACGTTCGTCTACATAATTTAGACTTGATTAAAAGTTTTTTATCCGCCGAGTCTTTTACGATCGTATTCATTACATATCCAGACAATATTACCCAACACAATATTACATACTCCATATAGTATAATATTAGCTCAAATATCTGTACACATATACATATTGATTGATATATACAGTATATAGATTTAACTATTAAAGATTTGTGTTTGTACTAATTAATTAGTTAATATTAAGGTATTATAGACGTTTCCTTTAAAGTTATTTATATCAATGTCTGATGAACTCAGTAAATTTTCTTTAACTGTTGATCTGGGACTTAAACAGACTATTAGAAGTTTTTCTTTACAACTATTTGTGTTTCCTACTCTGTCTTTAATGTTAATGTTCAATTGAAATCTCTTTGAGATTAATTGAACCTACTTTTACACAACAATAATATTTATATTGTTTTGTATTGCCAAAAAAATCTACTAAAATATTTTCAAGTACAACAGTGAATTGTAGTATACAAATATGTTAATGATTATTCTGGCATAAAAGACTCAATGCAAGATTCTTTTAGTTCCTACGTTATTTCTGAAGAATGTTATGGTAGTAACGGTACATTTAAGAATATAGAAGAGACTGTACAGCTTGGTAAATCTATCTTGGCTGATACAGGTTAGGTGCTCATTTATTTATTAATTTTAACCATTCTAAATTTTGATAAAGTATACTTCGCAGAATAGTAATTATTAAGAACAAACTAAAAAAAAGCATTTTGATTGCTGGAACTTTGCAGACTTTATACTATGTATGTACACTTCTGAACGTTGTGAGGGCAACATATTAGAAGAGATCAAAATCAATCTACATTATCAGAGTGAGGTTGTAGATTTCTGTGACCACATAGAATGTAAAAATCTGATATGTTATTTGCAAAAAGTACTTTACAAATAAGGTGAAAGAAGACCTTGTATAGCCATAAACATTAATGTTTGTGTACTTTCTCTTTGGCGATCTGGTATCCAGAATCGTTGATGTCATGAATTCGCCTATCTCACTTCAACGATTTACTCGCACTCAAATACTGAAACTACTGTAAAAATATAAATATTCCAAATCAACCTTTTACAAATACTAGCAATTTCAAACACGTTAAATTTGATTAATTCACTCTAAAGTAGTGTCAGTCTAGTTAAGTAGTTATACATGACCAAAGAAGAAAGGAATAAACCATCAATAAAATCAAAATTAAAATTCGTCAACGATTTCCAAGGAATATTTAGATTGTCATTGAAATATTTATAGGATGTAAGCAAATAAGGGTGCGTTTACGTTGGAGCTGCGATAAACGATACTAGCAAAACAACGCAATTGTTGTCATAGTTTTATATACAGTTGTTTATATTGGGGCGACGAGTTGTCACACGCTTGACAGCCGACTAACGAGAAGAGCCTTTCCTATTATCAGGTATGGTCAGCATGGATGTCGACTGTTTAATTAGTGACATTTTTGTTAGATCTCCCTTGTGGGACCAAAAAGATAAAAATCACCACAACAGATTTGTTCTGAAAAATCATTTTCAATTCATTTTGCGCAGCTCTTATCGCTGCTCTCATTGTTGCTCTTATTGTTTATCGCAGGTCTCGTTCCAATATAACCAACTGCATATAAAACTATGACAACAATTTCGTTGTTTTGGTAGTATCGTCGCTATTATCGTTTATCGCAGCTCCAACGTAAACACACCCTTAATCACAAATTTTGTCACTGCCAAGCTAAAACGGCATAAACCCCAAAATGGTCACTTGATGAAAGATCTTTGTGTTTCCTGGGAAATTAAGTAAATGTCGTTTACGCCATTTTGATTTAGCAGAATGTCCTGTTTTCTAAATAATGATTCTTAAGGACTGGTTGCAATAGGTAGGTTCTGTAACAAAGAAAACCTGTCTTTGAACATCTGACTTCAAAGATTTTAACAACTAATGCAATGATAGCGCTACACATTTTCAGAATTATAAAAGAAATACTGGAACATGTCAAAACTTGATTTCAACACTACTATTTCTACAAATCATACCGAAAACTTCAAGAGTCTTAAAGTAGACATTATACCTTTGCAATTGGATTTGTTTTCATTCATACCAGATGTAAAAAAGCAGGAAGTACTAATAAACTGGAACAACACTGAGATTTTGATATGGAAGTTTTGAAATATATTCCAACATCTAAGGTGTCATCATCTAATGTCATGCATTCATCAGTCTCTCAAACACTAGAATTTAGTCTATTAGAATTTACAGACTTTGCTGATTTTGGTCTTTCTGCAGCTAACATAATAACTTCAAGATGATTTATCTTCATTTATTTCCATGACGTGTTTACCGATATTTTAGGTATTAAGTTTTTTAATTCAGAAGAATGGAAGTGGATCAACATGGAAATGGATGTTGATTTACTCAGACATTACGAATACAGTTTTTGTGGACTTGAAGATAGTGAGTTTCTTCCTAAGTCAGCAAAGACGTCATAAACATAGTCCGGTATGAGATTAGCAATGGATAATAACTAGGGCTCGGATTTTATGCAAAATGCATCTTCTTTATTTTCTGGAATATTTTTTTCAAAATTGGTTTGTGGGCGAATTACATAAAAATAAGGCAGATGGTACAATAAAAAAATTGCATATTTTGCATATTTTTACAATTTTTTTGATTGTTGCATAAATTGGCCTGTTACTGCATATTTTCGCATATTTTGTCATTTTACTAGATTTGTTTCTTGTTGCTTAATAAAATAAACATAATGACTGGGTGATTTTTAAAATGCGAACATACCTTTTAGTTTAAAGCACAATATAGGATATTTTTGATTGCGAGTTGGTTTCTTGTTTACAATGATTCACAGAAACATGCGGGGAATCCCTAGCGCTGTTGAGTTTAAGTTTAAGGAAATCCCCAACCATAGTTACTGTGGCTGTGTTCAGTGTGAGTGAACATTAATCTACCAATCTATAACAACAATGCCTAAAATAATATCGTGTATTGTGTCCCAGTGGATAAAAAGTTATCCCGAACTAAATTTAAATAATGAGGAATTATTTTGTAAAACTTGTGCCAAAGTTGTAAGTATTTTTTTAAAAATTATGTCGTAGCGTTTTAGCCAAAGATTTAAGTTAAAAATTAGAGTTTTCAATGAAAAATACGAATCTGTTTTATAGTCTCAGAATTATATAGAACTTTCGTTCGAACTTTTTTAATTATTCTTTTTTAAGATAACGTGTGAGAGGAAGTCCGAAATAGAACAACATGTGAAAAGTGCAAAACATATACAAAAATGTGACAAAAATAGATTGATAACAACTATAAGAAAGGTAAATGTTTGCATATTTCCACATATTTTTGCATATTTTTTGCATATTTCCTATAATTTGATTGCATAAAAATCCGAGCTCTAATAATAACATAGTGACTTAACCAATATGCAATTCATTGTCCATACGATGTATGAATCAAGGAGGATACTTCTAGTTTTAATTGCCATTTAGCGTTAGATTGTTACTAGAAACTAGAAACATTTCGGTTTAGCCGTATGTCTCTTAAGACGGAGTACATATAACTGAGGTGAATTAGATTTCTAGCACATTTCTACAAATATTTTAGAATTGTAAAGAAATGAATGTTTCCAAATCTGCGCGACGTTACCCTGCATATGTTCCATATGATTCAGAAATTCGGGTTAATTCAACTTTGCAAAGAGTAATAAAGACTAGAATATAGGTGACCTAGCGGAAGAACATTTGAAGTGCAATTAAAATTTATTATAACTAAAAACTATTTTTGGTTGTAAAGAGACAATTAAATGATAGTGGTCTAATACCTATTAACAAGATCGTAATAAGCCGATTAAATCCAAGAACCCTTTTATGTAATGATCGGTTGTATATTAAATTTACGATCTACCTATAACGAAATGACTACTACATTTACGACTAAATTTTACACCTCCCACATAATTATTTTTTAAATAAAAGATATAAATCAATCGTTTCCAATTTGGTAATTCCAGTAACCTATAACCGATTAACCGGTAACTTCAGTCCATTAAATCCCGAAAGGTGCATAGTTCGCCAGTTCTGGCCGCAGTTTAATCGAGTTAGTAATTCTCTACAGTTTGTACAACCACCGGAAACAACAGCGTCCGTGTAACAATTCTAGGAATATTCCGACGAACACGTAGTTGGTCGAGCTTAAAGAGGTGGATGTCTTTTTTGGTTGGAAACGAAGTATAGGTGGGTAGTACGCAAGTTTGTGAACGCGTATGCTAACTTGCATTGTCGGATCCACGTTAAAATTCCACGTTGGAGTTTTGAACTTTCGGTTCGAATCCGGAAATCCGACGCGGCTGCGAGCTTTTTATTCCGCGCCGTACCATTTCGAACGTGCTTATAATTTTTATGATCGTCATTTCTTGGATTCTCAAGATGTATTTCTTCGCAGGTGGTTATTATTAACAAATTTATCACCTTTTATAATACCCAAGAAATGATATGGATCGATAATAAAGAAAAGAAGTTGGTTTGTAATAGGGGTCAAACAGTTTTTAAAAACCAATAATAACTAAGAAAATAGACGTTATTGGGTATTGTTTGAGTTGTGTGTTAAGTTAGTTGAAGACGTGACGTTTCTGGTGGTTGGGGAGCAACTGAAAAGAATTCTGTTTCGGAAAGTTACGAAACAGATAGAATGCTGTCGTTTCGTGACGTAAAATTGATTGATAACCAAAAGTAAACGTGTAAACATTGACGGCGGAGTAAAATCAAACCGAAAATCAAGACGTTTCGTCTAAAGCCATACATTATTCAATACATAGCCCCTTCAGTGTACAGGTCGAATATATTTACATACGTTTTATCTTGTCGGGGGAAAGAAATGGTTGCACTGAAATAATTTTATTTTGGGTGATTTGGCGTTGATTGGCACAAGATGATTTACTTTTACCCATTAAATTAGATGCAATATCGAGAGAAATTGTAATCGACGGTTGTTACAATCGATAAACGTGTAAACCACACATGTTTCGGTGATTGGTCGAAACTTGATTGGCATGTATGGAGCTCGTTCGTTCGCCTGACATTTAATGCAAATGACACATTTTACATTAGGGGTCGTATATGAGGCGCGACGTATTCAATCGTAATAATTCATAATGCGACCCACGTGCATTAATTTCAGCGCATAACGTACACATTTTCATAATTACGGTTCCCGAATCGCAAACAGAATTTAGCGAAAAATGCAACGGCTGCTTGTTGCGGATTTTCAACCGAAACAAATAAAATAAAAAGGTTTTGCAGGCAAAAGACCCGTTTACGCAATAATTAATATTTTTTTAACCTGTTTTGTTATTTTATACCAACGTAGATTTTCAGTTTATGACCTAAAATATTAAAACAAAAGTGTAATCGGATTAAATTTTGTTACTACCTTTACATTCATTTAAATTTAAATTTTAAATAGAATATGAGTTTTATTGAATTCTTTTATTAAGGGTAATATATCAGATTTTTTACTAACTCCCTTGGCTATAATCGATCGTAGTCTCAATCGGAAAGGGCAAAGCGGGTCCGTTGGACCAGGTGTGAAATACCTGGGCACCCCTAATTTAATTAGGACGCCGTAACAGCTGTAAATACAGATTATTGATTTCCAATCGGTTCTTATACGAACCCGGACGCCACGGGATCTAATTAAGGTGGATCTCCCCGCGGGCAAAAACTTCGCTCCGCGGTCGGCGAGATCTTGTTTTCAGTCGAAAGGGCCAAGATGCCGATACCTTAATTACACCCTCGAGGTGCTAGAGACTTTGTTGGCACGTCGACGTCGGAAGAGTTCGCTTTCACCTGTCACAACCGTTTCTAGCAACTCCTAATGTAATTTTCGTTTCTGGCAAATTTGTTTGTTGTAAAACTGTCACCCGGGATTTTATCTCCGAGCAAGTTTTTGAAGTCGCGGAGAGCTCGAATGGTGTTTGGACGGCACCTTGGGGGTTTTAAAAGGACCTTTTCAACGTCCTAAAATAGTTGTTGAATAACGCGAACGAAGATAATACTTTAAAGGAGAGAACTAATTTGAGTGGGGCAAGTTTTAATTTTAAAATTTTCAGCTTGTTACGATTATTAACGGTACAAAGTAGAAAAAAGTTAAAGTGGAATTATCCGATTTCAGTTTTATGGTTTTAGCACCTTTCGAAACGACGCCATCAATAACTGAAAGCTCCGCAAGCGCCGGCAGTGCCAATACATATATCGTAACCGTTTCAAAAATTTAATAACGATTAGTTTCGCAGGGGAAAGCTCTACCCGCTGGAAATTTTTATGACCAATGGTGGGATTCGAAACTTTGAAGCCCGTTTGCCCTTTAAAATTGAATGAGACCGTATTGTTTATTGTACAACTCGGCGATATTGTTGTAGTGTGGAGAAAATTGAAATGTTTTGAACCGTTCAAAAATCGTTTATACAAGTATACCTCATAAAAAAGTTTTAATTTAAATTATAATTTTCAATATGTTGATATTTATAATTATTGGTTAACAATAAAAAACGTTATTTTATGTCTTGACATATTATTTAATTATTCGATTTCCAAAATTGTTACGTTTAAATACGCCCGTTTTGTATATTTATCCAGGTGGAATTAAACAATTTAAATTTTCCTCCTTTAGATTCAATTATGTAAATGAGCACTAGTGCAGATAAATTTATTTTCCAACGGAAATATGTTATTTTTCATTATTTTATTGCGACCAATTTATTGCGAAATACAAAAGATAGGAAGCCCGCACATTTTATTTTTGTCCCCGCGTTTTGCCAATGAATTTTCATGAAGGAAAATTACTCGTAAAAGCATACAAAATCGGAAAATCACGCATTGTTAATAATAAACATGTAATTCTAATTTGTATTGCGGACTCATATTTGAAATTTGAACTTTTAATTAGAATGAATCTAAAATCTCGTTACGAAGATCCGATTTGATGATTGATGGATCGGACGTCGTACATGACACAAAACGAGTTACAGTATGCACATTCAATACCTGTGTCTGAGAGAGACAGATACATTCCGGCGGACATGATGGCGGTGGTAACATGTTGAAGGCTGCGACGTGAAACAAAAAGAGTGCCGTAGTGGATCTCAACACGCTCACCATCTGAAAACCAAAGAAAAAAATGATTTTTTTAATCGGCTAAATTTCAAGATCTTTGTGTTAAGCATGTATGAGGCGAATGCGGTAAATTTTCCGTGTGGCACAGCATTGCTGCTGCTGCCAACCGAAAGAGAAATTGTCCCGGATCAAATGTAGTGGCCTCAGGGGCGCGGCAGGTGAATAAAACAGTACGGCCTCTCGTTGAATTATTACCGCTTCGGTGGGTCATCATCGTTTTGGTAAATGGCCTCAGTTCCGTGGAAAACACAATTGAGGATCACAGGAAGGGCGTGTTGGTTTATTAATTCACCGGTGTCAATACTAATCTAATTCCTTAAAAAATTAAATCTCCCTGTAAGTAAGCAAATTCTAATTAATTCAAAAGACCAAAAAGTTTCTCGGTCGGAAAAATTATACAGATTTCGAACTTTTATCCGAGGAAAATTAACACCGGGAGAGGTACGATACTGGAAGTCTGGTTTACCCCGGGTCGGTTCTTGTTCGTTTGACATTTTTAATTAGCTTCGCGATCACCGTGGTCGTCCTCTATCACTACTCGAGCGCCGTTATTAATTGAGCGAAAATTTAAATTGAGTCTCTTTATCATCGTGACAAGAAGAGGCCCAAGGGATGATTATAAGTAAAAAGACGTAGAAAAAACTTGCTCAGATTAAACGGTATTAATCTCTTTGTAGGTTTGTTTTAGAGAAAATGTCTTTAATCTTACGGAAACTATGATTACTAACAAAAAAATTCAATTAATAACTTCAAACTATTTTATTTAAGAACAGTTTTATTAAAGAAATCAAATCGAATTCAACTTAATCAATAAAACTAATGCTGAAATAGAACTTTTCTCATTTCAATTTGAATTTTTTATGTATTTTGGAGTAGGAATACTCAGCTACGCTGATTTGACGTGTGACGTTGCTGATTTCTAGTTGATCACTTTGTGTTATTAACAATCAAAGATAAATAAGTAGCATGATGATGTTTGAGAAGAGCTCAGCCTGAATGATAATTAGATAAGTTTTAAATAATTTATGATACATAAAGTTGTCAGTTTGAATATGTTAAGGACAATCTGTAAGATAAAGTCGTAGAGATAAGAATTGCAGTAAACAAAGATGCAACCTTGAGCAAGTGAATTTAAACGTCGAAATCATGGATACTACTTGAATGCAATAAAACAGCACAAAAATATGTTAACATTCAGCAAAGACAAGATTCAAAACATGGTTTAGCACCGGCTCTTTGCGATGTACCGTACTTTAATAAATATTAATGTTACATGTGCAAGAGATTAAAGGAAGAATTTAGTTATTAGTTTGTGTCAAATGTTACTAGAACGTCTGCAATTTCAGAATCGATCTCTCAACGGTTTTTCAAGAACTACAACAAATAATAGGTGTGATATAGGTAATAATTATCGAATTTGTGCGTTGGGGGGTGGCTTGTGATGGTTGATTGGATAGTCGAGCTAAGTGGTGGTGACATTGAGTGATGCTTTGTGGTTTATGGCGTTTATGTGACGTCATTGATGTATATGTTCTAAAATCATGAAACTACGCGAGTGAATATCCTTAGCAAGGCGTATATTAAATGCAAATATTATTATAATTATCTCGATTGTGTCAGATTTTCCATGATGTATCTATTAACTATTTTCATTAACTTGGATTCACATCTAACCTAAGTTATAAATTTGTGAGACATCAAAAAATTCAAAGAAATCCATAAAAACTTTGCAAAACTCAAAAGGGAGGTTGAGGAAAATTGGATGGAAAAACTCTATCAAGAACATAAAGAATTACAGCAAAAACATGGTTATTGAACATACACAAAAGAATAAAGCCCCGTGTGAGGATTATACATACATCGAGATGCTTAAATTACTAGATGATGGAAAATGATGATGAGATATATTGCTCAGGAATTTTGCCACCCAATTTGAGTCCTTAAAAAAGTGGAACAAACAAGTGTTCACAATATCGACTGATTAGCATGATGAGCCATGCTCTGAAGACAGTTTTAATAATCATACACAGCGAAAAATTTGGTTTCCGTCTGGGTAATCAAAAAAGGCATCATTTGAGCCAAATGTGCTGCTTCAAAGACTCTGACAAAGCTTTTGGAGCAATAAGTTGGGTAGGAGACAGTGTTCATGGCTAAAGAACGTAACGGATTGGATTGGCCAAATTTACAAGCATTTTTAAGAGCAGCACAGGGAAGAAGAACAAAATCATTGGTTATCAGGGGTGATGGTCTCAACGAAAGGCTAAGAAATGAGACTTTTATGGATCATCATTCACTGATTACTGGAACTGTTCCATACAAATACCCTTACAAGCACAATTCCTGTATGGCCAAAAAATGATGATGTACGAGATAATACGTGACTGGATCTCGCATAAATATTCATCGACATCGATACTTAAATCACGAATCAGGAACACCAGCATCATTAACTAGTCGTTAATGATTTAGAATACTTGAAAACTTTTTCACGAAATAATCTAAGTCATCAAAAATGACCCGAGACCTACATGTTGTAGACATGTTGTACAGAAGATGGCAGAACACCAGCCATCCTTTAATGATATTGTAGGGAATATGTGATTATTGACAAAACAGCATTCATCGTTATATGTTTAATTTAACTTGCATATTCAATCTAGTATTAAAATGTTTTCGATAATTTTATTTGTTACATTAACAAGCAAACCTAAATTACTTAGCTTTTGTTTAATTTATTTTCTTGATTGAGTAAAAGTGATATACATAGTATCAGATTATCGGGTTAGATAATATATAACCTTAATCACATTTCCAGATAAATCTGATTGAATCTCGCAAAAGTTAATATTTCATGGAGATTTCCCAACTTTTACATTAAGTTCGTCCCGATTTTAGATCAACTCTTGGATTAGATTTTGATAAAAGTATTCTTAATGAAATTTTAATTATTTAACAAACTGATTAAAAATTTTTTTAAGAAATCTTAGAATCGTTTAAATTAATACCAAAAAGGTAGATAGCTTTGTTTTTTTAGCAAAACTTGAAATGAACATTTTTTTGTTGAAAGTAATTAACTAATCCCTAAACATTAACGGATAAAAATATGTCAAGAGAGTACTTCAGCCTAAGTTTCGAGTATCGCTGTCTCTCAACGAAGTGAAAGAGTAGCGAGCGCGCTAAACGGATTTTCCGACAACCTTTCCGAATTTAATCCGGTTCAGTTGGCTTAATAAAATGGCGCCCTCTTAAGAGAATAAGAATTCGTATCCCATTTATCATTTAGAAAGCAATTTCTTCGTCCGGGGGTTTCAAATATACATCTGTCAGTCCCCCGTGCTAGAACACAAAGACATGGCCAGGAATAGGCCCTTTAGTCATCTCGGTGTTCGAGTCGGTTCTACTTCTTTCGCCATTTATCTATCTACCCCTTTCGAAATGCCAACCCCTCGATATAAAACCCAAGATGATTAAATATTTAAGTTTAATCGGTTCCGGATACAATTTCGGCTTTTATTCCTTAATTGATATCTTAATTGGTAACTCAATTCGTGAAACCATTATTGTTAAATTGAATTTCGAAAAATAAACTTGCTTTATTTGGGGTTGTGTTAGCTGAAAATTAGCAGCGTGATCAAATATTAAAGTTTAATCGTCGAAAACGTCACTGTGTTTACCTTCGATTTAATGGTGGTCCGGGCTTAATTGAAACAAACGCGCCGCTTCCCGGTGCCCATTCGTTTGTGTGACAATTTCAACGGGAAAGGGTGTCGCGTCGACGGCAGCCGGTGGCGCTTATTGATAATGTTTGAACAGAGGATACAACCGTAAACTAATTACATTTCCATAATTCAGTTAATATGCAAATCGCGCATTGCTTTTGACTTTTAAATGTAGGCCGAGCTCGGTGCTTCCATGACTGCGTTGTCAGCTAATATTAGCGCTATCTGATATCTCTCCGCAAATACCGACGAAACAGCCTCAAACCGCATCGTGCTTTTTTTCGTCCGAGCCCTCAATTTGCATTTTAACGTTGTAGCCGCGATAACGTCCCGTATCCTAAGCAAATATCTGATGTAACCAAATTCTCCTTGCACCTAGCTCGGCGGTCTTTTTTTGCTTTGCGGTAGCTATGTTTTAGTTCCTTTTATACGCTCACGAGACTTTTAGACTTTTTAAAGTGCTTTATTTATACATTCTTTTAAATACGAATCGATTTGGTTTTTTTTAAAAAATTACTGGTGTTCGTTCATGCATTTTGAACAAAAGCTTTTACCTTTTTTAATTTAGTTTCAAGCGATAGTCTGTGTACCTATATTGAATAGAAATGAAACAGTGGGATAGTGGGAACCAGATTAGTTTCGCGATTTTCTTTTTTGCAAATAGTATCCCTTCTGGAAGCAAAGAGAACTTTGAACCGAATTAATTTCACAGTGCTTTAAGCATGGGCCTTCTGGAATACAACTTGTAGGAATTCGATACGGGTTGCAACGGCAGCCATTATAATAGATCCTGGAGGTTTACACATACCGTGGCCAACCCGGGACAGCATGAGCGATCGTTCCCAGACGAAGAGGTCCATCACTCGATTTCGGGTCAGCGCTTCCGGTCTCCTGGGGCTCGGCCAATTGCACGGTCGTCCCTGTTTGCAAAGGACTCAGTTGTGCAGGGTAGTTCTCTGAACTAAACCACCGGCGCCCATGGATCTCTTTACACCAAATAATATTTACTACTCCTGATGGAAATGGATAATTTATGAGAATTCTTTACGAGTTGTTTCAAATTGAAAGAAATATATTATGAGTTTCGAGAAAACTCGATGCACGTATCTATCAGGATGCATCGATACACGTTCCTATTTCAGATTTCGCGTATATCGAATCGTAGTTTCTTACGAGACTCTATCTGTAAAGATAGACATGACGAATGTTGGGATGATATAAATTGGAAATTGATTCTCTTCTCATTTACATGCGGCAATCCAGTCG